ACTGACACTATCCACCTCAACTCTTAGGAGCTGCCTTTCCATTGAAAGCTCTGCTTAGAATTCATGGGAATAGACAAGTCGGTGGCTGCGCTGCACTCCGTGGGACGGGAGCGGTCGCAGCACTGCCAACACAAGTTTCTGTAGTTTTTGGGCTCCCTGAACTCTTTCCATAACCCGTCAATGCGTGAGAAAATCGAACCTTTATCAGCATTGCCCTTCTACTCTCTTTTATTAATTTAAACTCTGGTGTAGTCCGGGACATAAGAATTGCAGAGGTGCGCAGAAAGGGCATTATGCACGGCGCGACAACCCGTCCTCACGCTGTCTCTGAGGAACACGGTCCATGCATGACGAAATCTACTGCGTGCGTCGTTACTGTCCCCAGATGCTGGCCCACCCCTCTCACCCCAAACTTCTAAAAATAACTGCAAACAATCACTGACCTGTTCTAGGAAGAAGTCCTTAGCCTCCCTGACAAGGTAGATGTCGAGACAGATCTTCAGTAAGAAGTCCGGATTTGGAATTTCTGTTATCATCACTTCCGTCGGTGAATGAGTGAACAATGCTCGAATCAAACGACCCACAACGATCACCAACGAGATGTACATCGCAATCACACTAAACAGATAATTATCGTATACCGAAATGAGGAAGCAATAAACGTATAGGATGGGAGTAACCGGAGCTTCATACCTCTTCAATTTAAAATCAAATTCGGGGCAGAAGTTCGAAACCTTCACCAAGGAATTGTCAGCTGTTGACCGAATTTCAGCTGATACTCTGATCACGCGCGCTGGGTTGCAGCGGCAAATTCCGCGCGACGGCTCATGCATAACCAAATGTTGGGGGCGATGTAGAAAATTGCGCGGCATAGAAAACCATATCCGTTTTGAACACACTTTTATTTTTGCTATACAAATCATACCAGGGTTTTATCCAGTTAGCGGGGGGGGGGCATGTGGTGCGCCAGTTGCTGTCGCCTGCAAAAATCTCAATTTTGGCAGAGAGAAAATCTCAGGTGTGCGTGAATCATTTCACCGACACTTTTACCCCGACCCCTGGGCTTCCTTCCTCTGCGAAAAATCAGGTTATTTCAGGCGATATAAACCAGGGTGAATAACGGTCGAGGCGATCCTCGACCATGGATGACTCTGTACTGTGTGAGTATAGTATCAAGAGTGAATGTGCACGCGGAGAGCACAGACGGCTCGCGCGTGGCGAAGTTTCGCGCGCGGGAGAGCGTAACTGACAGGCGAAAATCTTTCACGAGTCGTCGACAAATCCTAGACGGACTTTCACCGTGATATGAGCAGTCGCACCACATGCCCCCTCCCCGTTTCGTGAGTGAGACTCCAGTTTATTGCTCAACTTACCCTCCTTGCAGATATTTGGCGAAAAATGACGGGAACGCTTTGTCGACAAACGCTATGGTTTGTACGTAGGTGCGCTCACGATCCGTTCCATAAGTGATTTTGAGACGCGTTGAAGTAGACGTTTGTGTACTGAGATGGATGTTCCGTTTGCGCGACCCACATTCTAAAACTAAGCAGCTGAAGATCACATTTTGCAAACTTGACGGAAGCATGATCAGAAAAGTCGCCTCGCGACCGTGCGCTTATATTCAACGATATTGCGACGACAGCGCAAAGGCAACAATTTCACTTTAACACATTGCGGACCGCCCTTATACGAGCATCTCCATACCTTTTTCATGTTTTTAAAAAATGAATCATCATTAATCTATCAACAATTTTATCAGTGATGATACTTATGCTTTCCTGGTTCTGAAAATGAGTGCAAGCACTAAGGAGCATTGAAAAATGCCAAATAAATCAGATAAAACTATGATCTTCCGCTCCAAATCGTGCGCCACATGGTGGCGCACGTGGTACGCAATGTGTTAAAGTAAGAGCTGAAATGCTGACACTTACCCCTGTTGTTGAATTCACCAATGACAGTTTAACGGTATCGAACCAATCACGGTCGGATGCATTTTTCGGACGTTGGTAATTGTCTTGATTGTATTGAATCGCTGATACAATAGGTGTTGGAATAGTGACTGCCGCCTTCGTTCGGTACCAGCAAATAGCTCGGGAACGCTTCCGGTAATGATATCTGAATACTTTTCTTGTATCCCTATCTTTAATCATTATCAGACCTTGCATGATTTGTAAGCTGGTAAAATTCGATATTTTAAAACGGTCGAATATCAACGAAGTGTATTCCTGATGCGAAAGTAGGTTTGAAGACGCTAGTCGCAATCAACCGTGCGTTGCGCGGTTCTCAACACGAAGGTCATATCGCATTCGGGGTTGGCGATGGTCACAATTCGAAAAAAGATGGGGGATTTCGGAAATAGAGGTGATCTCGGAGAGGGGTTCATGTTGACGAGATTTTCAGACACTTCCTGAATATACTAGGGGAGCTCTAGAAAAGAATGTGAAGTGGAGAAGACTTAGGAAAATTTAGAATCTCCTGGCGGTGATTCTGATGTAGCCACGTTGCTCATTTAACCCTGTTTATCTCCCTCCCCCCACCTTCGGTCATTTGGATGAGAAAGTCAGCATGTCAACTGACAGATTCGAATACCATAGAAAAACTATATATGACGGTGAGGGTTGCGGGATGAGGTAAGAGAGAGGTCGCATTGGGGACCCCCTAATAGTGATGTTAATGAAAATTCGCAGAGGGGGGGGGGCAAGGCTCATAAAATTCCTGGAATTGGAACGAGTCCTGAGCGCAAGTTCCTTATATTTATGTCACTAAAGCATACCGTTTGGCCTGCGCCTTGGCTCTGCAGGATTTGATTCCATTCCGAGCGCAGTTCGCTGTTTGGTTCGATTTCAATAGACCACTGGGTAGCGTGTTTCTGTACATCCTTCTTCTTCACGTCATATGGCCGAGAGAACTCGACAGCGACAATGAAGTTTATCGAAGAGTTGCCGCTCAGCTGTTCACTACAAACAACCATTTGTTAATAGATAAAACGAACAATTCGACCAACAGGGTCAAAACATAAATATTATGTTTCCAAAATTATATGTAGTGCAGTACTCACATCAATGCATTACGAGACGCCTCTGAAATTCCCCACGGTACTTCAGATTCGGGACGGAAATTGACCACCTGAAACAAATGAGCAAATCGCACCTCACTCAAATGGGTTGTAAGGTACTACGCAAGCATGCTATATATGACCTGCGGGGTTACAAAGAACGTAAAGAGCACTTGTAAAGGCTTACCAATATATCGCTGGTTGAATACTCTTTCAAAAACGATACACTATCACGTGACCGCTTCATAGAATCGGTACTGTTCGTAGATGGGAAATACCTGAACGAAATTTCGATGCAGCCTTCCGAAAAAAAGCAAAACAATTATGGAGACTCAGCAACTTACCTTCGACTCATTGTATCGGTCAAATACTTCAAT